CGTACCCACTACGGCGCACGATGATCTTCACTCTTCATCTCTAAGGCTAACCAGGAGTTGAGTCCCTTCTTGGGAACTGCTACTTGGACCTTCTGATATTGCATACGCTCATATAGGGTGAAATTGTATTGGCGACATACAAGGTGAACAATAAATCTTCTAAACAACAGCTTGGAGTTTTCACTTGGCTAGAGCTGAGTAACTTCATCCAACGGAAGAGAGAACCCCCTCCTTTACATAATCCATTTATTTCAAGTCACTTGGATCCATAGTGTTAGTTACAATGTCACTTAAAAATTAATGTTAGTAATAATAACGTTTTACTCAATAAAAATTGAAATACAGTTAAATTATTACAGAACCAAATTACACAAATTTAATTGTTACAGAATTACATTAAACATCAAACAAGTATAATTTATTTCAGAATTAAATTTTGCAAATTAACTTATTAGGGATGGAATTAAATTAAATTAATTATTACATTTTAAATATTACACAAATCCTAAGACTACCTTTATCCAATGCATCTGGATGGGACAGTTAAAGCTAGAGACAATCATCTTCAGGACCCCATTTTCACTGAGCTGCAGGCGATACATCAGCTATGCCTTTTTTGCGGATTATTGCGTTAAAACTGTCCATTCGGGCATCGGCAAACACGCCTGACGCTCTGCAGCACCGCGGTAGACGCCATAGTATCCTGAAGATATTATTGTATTGCACCCGTAGAGCGCTGAAGGGGTGACGCGTGTAACTCACCCGCAGACCACTCGAGTAGAACGTTTGACAAAATTATTTAAATAGAGTTATTTTAACTTCATTACTATATCGAGCGAATCTGCGAGCGAGCATATCGCCTCTCACTGCCAGCGCTGTACGCTCTCTCTCCATATCTTCATCATACCTCAGATCCCCCGTCACAATATGTCCCAGATACTTAAACCCATGTACAACATTTAGATCTGCCCCATCCAGCACAACAGGTGGTAGATGGCTTGGAGTACGTTTACCTGCATTAAATATGAGAAATTCGCTCTTCTTTGCATTGTATTTCAAACCATGAACCCCCACGTATGCTTATTCGTATTCGTTAAAATACCGAATCGGCCCATTACAGAGAACAATGGCAAAAACATAGTTAAAAGGATTCGTTAGCGTCTTCAAATATCTTAATTACAAGTTTCAATAAAATAAATTCATTAGGTTTTTCGAACAAGTAACAAACCTACTTTATATATTACTTTTAAATCACTAAGAATTCGCTAGATGGCATTGACCCATTTGGCGTTATTTCTGAATCGCGGTGTTAAGATTGTCCCTTGAATGGTGACAACTGCAACACAATTTTGTTAATGTGGAGAGAAATCTGAAAATACCGAGAGCTCAGCTAACTGAGCCTTAGCCTAAGCTAACCAGGAGCTGAATGATGAAGGAGCTTCTTGGGAACTGCTACCTGGTAGACATGGGGAAAAGCGTTACATTTTGATCACCGTTACTAGCGTTCCAGTTACAAAAAAATCGCAGTGACAAATCACCGTGATTTGATTTTTCACGCCTGTCACTTACGTCACGATGAACGGTTTTGGCCTAATTTTCTGGTACCCAGTCGACATTAATCGTCAGTTCTGTGGCGGCTTTAGACGCCTCCTATTTTCACCGGCTGGCTGTGGCAATCTCTTTGGATGAGAATCGCCAAGAAGAGTGTCACACTTGCCAAAGATAGTCGATAGTTTTTTAGTTACGGAATTGTCATGTCAACGATTGCAAATTGTTTGCCCTGTTTGATAAAAGTTATTTGTAAAACCACGAAATATTATAATTACATCGCCAACCACGAAGTTCACGAGGCCGTTTTATTTTTCATTCATTCATTCATTCAAATCGTTTGAAAAATTGATCCGCAATAGCCTTCACACTTTTACAGGCTTGTCTCATTGTTCGTTAATAAGACCATGCGGCGTGGTTATTATTTTGGATCAATGGTGAATAATTATCTTACTTGTATTTATTATGTTACACGGTATTTACACTGATCTAATAATTTCTTAGCTCATAATTAGAATTTAAAAATAAAAGCGAACTACAATGAGCAGCGCAATCGCCAGTCTCTTACAGAACGTAGATCGCGCATGATTTTGTTTGTAAAATACGACGTATGCCGTGACGTGAGTGACAGTGACAGTGGAACGGAGGAACAACCTATGTGATTTTGGAACGTCGTTCCTTCGTAAAAAGTCACGGCAATACTATTTGACGGCTGATCACTGTGATTTTTTTCACCTTCTGATATTGGAAACGCTCACATAGGGTGAAATTTTATTTGCCTTAATTTATTTGCTTTAAATTGCCTATTATGTAGGGTAAAAATCATCGTCTCGCGGAACGGTTTCTAGTGTCGAGTCCCTTCTTGGGCACAACAGCCCGGACGTGCGTCCGCGTGCGTAGCGTGAAATATTCGTCATACACAAGGTGGAAATAAACCTTTTTTCTGACTACTTGGCGTTTTAACTTGGCTGGAGCTGCCTAACCTCATCCCACGGCGAGAGGCCCCCTCCTTTATAAACTGGCGCCCAACGTGGGGCCTACAAGACCGAGATACTACAACGTCTCCGTCTAGAAGGTTGAAGAAAGAAGTCAACCTATCCGACAACAGCAGCGGGCCATAGAGGCTGTTAACGTCCGGGGGGAGAAGGAGAATGAGCATCTCATGGAATATGCGAGTCAAGTAAAACTGAAAAATAGTTCCCTAAATCAGGGATAGATGGCACGTTTCACAAAAAAATTCGAGTCCGAGTTACCAGTGCAATAGTCTGTGGTATGTTATTAATTAACGCAGGATTCGCTCTGGACCTTTTGGAGGGAAAAGTGTCGTTTTTATTTTGACTTTCAATTCTTTTGTGAAATATTCCACTTTAAATTAGTTTAAAGTGGAATAGGATAGTGCTATTGTGCCTTAATCGAAGATTAAAACGCGAAATTATACGAATCCCGAACTAAAATACCCGTATCGGCCCGTTTTAAGGAATCTCGAGTCAATCGAGTCAATCCAAGTACGCCGCCTCAAATTGCCTATCCTCTTTGTGGCGGCCATATTTACAGAAACATAATTAAACGAAGACATGACTCAAAGGACTTGTTGGATACAAGTCAAAACATACGTACAGCTATAATATACTAAATAATATATAACGTATGTACAGCCAAAATTATTAATAAAAAATAATATTATATTAATTAACTCAGTTTTTTTTGTTATGGCTTAAATTCGTGTCTTTTGACCATACCTATACAAAATAATTTCCTCTGAACTTCTATTAACTCTGTTTAAGGCTTCTGTAATTTATTTTGATATAATAATATTAAATAATAATGTTATTCAATTGCGTAACACATAACCTCCAAAACTTCAAACTGAAATATCTTTAATTCTTGACTTCTCAGAATAGTAAACCTAAAACAAAATTTGTTCAATAATTTCAATATTTTCATATTTTTCATAAACAGACGAAT